TCGGCCTCAATGCAGCCAAAACAATCCCAGACTAACACTTTAATAACTATACCATATGGGTTTATCTTTAGAACTCACATCTGGATTCATCTGGGATTTTTAATGACAACTCTATGGTTTGCACAATGTTTTTCCAGGGCAGTTGCTTTCCATCTCACTAGATTTTGTATCAATTCATCTTGCTATAGATGCTGCATGTTGTGGTATTTCTGACTTCCTCTTTCCTACATGCTACACATGATGGAATTCCCCACTGACTTTTGCACTAATCTGGTAGTCTCCTAAGGGACCTTGTTTCTTTGCTTCTCTTTTGCTTCTGAATTCTTTTAACTTCCAGTTCTGATGAGGGAAGGTTGGACTCTCCACATCAGCTCAGATAATAGCGAACCAATCTTTTTTTAGCCTGTAGCATCAATCTGCCTTTTTGCAAATATAGTTCTCTGTCACGGAAGCTTAAAGTTTCAATTTTTCCTGATTACTTTTGCTTTGCAGCTGGGGTTGAGGTGGGTAAATCATGGACAGGTTCCAGGTCTGAAGACCTTACTGTTCTGTATGATTCTACTGCTGGCATTGTAAAACCAGAAAATGAAAAACATTGTCCAAAGCCAAAGCTGGAACTGCAGGCCCATAATTTAGACCAGGTTTTTAAAGCATAATAATAGTTATTCTATACCACAGTGATCTTAAATGGAGCCTCTGCCTTTCCCACCAGCAGCTTTCTGAGAAAAATTGCCTCTGCAGAAGTGCTGGCTATCAAAGCAGGAGCTCTGCAGTGCCCACCCAGATGTCTGGCCTTTTTATAAGCCCCTTTCTTTTGCACTTATAACCTTGTCTAGATACCTTTAGAGCCAAATTTTTAATGCTCAGCTGTTTTGGCAACTCTCTAGCTTTGCTATTTCTGCAATACAACATCAGTCTGACAAAAAAAAAATGTATTTTTGCATGTACTTGTTCAAGGCCTGAGTTCAGACTACCAAATTAATAAAGCTTTCATCCCTGAAGCATTGGATTATTATTTTTTAAAGAGTAATACTCTTTTTTAATGAGTAATATTAGAATTGAAAGACATCCTGAAAGAAAAATACCTTAAACTGGCCAATATAAAGCAGTATAAAGTATTATGAAATATGAATCTCACCCCACAGACTGATGGTAGAGTTTGGATTTCAACCACAAAACTCCTTCCACCTTTGACTTCTGGCTTCACTTTAAGACCTCTGGCAATTTTTCAAGAATTTATGTTGTGTTTCAGTCACCTCAGTACAACACAGAAAATCCAAGTTGCACATGATATGGTTGTTTTATAGGGTTGAATATAGTTAAAAAAAAAAAATTCCCCCAGTAGGTTATGAACCCAGGATATTCCCTGCAGTTTCTAGTAACTTCACCATATAGTTCTCTGTAGTAAACCCATCCAAAAAATTCTGATATGCCAAAGATAACTATTACTTGCTATTGTTGATAGATGGCATAATTTTTGATGTTCAAACATCTAAATGGTAATAAATAAAATTTAAAGCAGGTTCCAAACATTTATTTCTGTTTTTTTTCACTAGCTGGACCATTCTTTTCCTTAGATTTCATGGACATGTCATGCTAAAACCTGGAGAGATGGCCTCTCAATTCTAAGGATGCCATTAATGAAGCAGTATCAACCAATCATCTTGGACTATTGCTATTATCAGCCCACTATATTGGCAGGCTAATGATGGCCTCTTAGCATACATGGACCTAGTTATGGAAATATAGTCAAGCAAGACAAGGCAGAGCAATTGTTCTCTACTGTACCTCTTTTCTACCTTTTCTTCATGCGAAGGGACACAGCGTGGCCCTACACTCACTCATTTGTCTTTACTTCTTCATACACAAATCCATCTACCATACTCCCCTTGTTTAGAAAGTTATGAAAAAGGAGGAGACTCTTCTCTGCTGAGAAATGTGAGGAGAGAGAGACAATATATGGTGTAGCCTTAAAAACAAAACAAAACTGAAAAATACATCCATTCATACACACAAACACAAACACACCACCACCAGGCTTGCCTTTGAGTTAAACATTTCAGCTGGCTGATGTTATAAATCAGCTCAGCTTGTTTTGGAAGTAGGTGGTTTTATCACATAGTACAGGGAAAAAACCAAACAGCTCATTTACATGCAGCTGATTCTCTCCTCATAATAGCTACAGATGACTATTTTAAATTTCTTTTAGCATCATCTCAATGAGTTGCACATGTCTGCACTACAGGCCATTACCTCACTGATCGTGCTTATAACAGGAATAGGATATGCCTGCTGAAGAGCAAAAGGGGTAAGGGGAACCTAAAAGCAAGCCAAATCATTTATCCTCATGATAAAGAACTGGGTTAATTCTTAGCATAGGAGTAGAAGGTTTTCAAGGAAATTCCAGAATTTCCATGGGAATTGGTGAGATGTATGGTTTTTAAAAGGAAGGGCTACTGCAAAAAAAAAAAAAAAGAAAGAAAGAAAAGAAAAAAAAAGAACCAGAGCTACAAAGAGATAAATAAATTTTGATTCTTTGCTGCCATCTAGTCTTTACATGGATTTCTGCAGTTATGGTAGCCCTAATACAAATATAAAGGGACACGGTGGCTCAATGGCTAAGACGCTGAGCTTGTCGATCGAAAGGTCAGCAGTTCAGCGGTTCAAATACCTAGTGCCGTGTAACGGGGTGAGCTCCCATTACTTGTCCCAGCTTCTGCCAACCTAGCGGTTCGAAAGCACGTAAAAAATGCAAGTAGAAAAATAGGGACCACCTTTGGTGGGAAGGTAACAGCGTTCCGTGCGCCTTTGGCATTTAGTCATGCCGGCCACATGATCACGGAGACATCTTTGGACAGTGCTGGCTCTTCGGCTTTGAAACAGAGATGAGCACCGCCCCCTAGAGTCAGGAATGACTAGCACATATGTGCGAGGGGAACCTTTACTAATACAAATATAATAATTCAAGTCAGTTCTGAAGTCAAACACAATAAACAATTTGCAAATTGGCCTTTTTGGCTAGCCAGAAAAAGCTGTCCAAGTTTTACTTCTTGCTCAACTCCAACCTCTTGCTCAATTTTTTGTTTTTTTGTTTTTTAAGAGCCCACCCTGTTGAGACAGTGAAAAATGTCCACACGGTGGTGCTGAAGCAATGTGACTGAACAGGTGCATGGAATGATGGGTAGAAGATATGTATTATGTTGAACTGGCAAATTTGTGATCTTCAGCCCATTTTTTTTCAGAAGTGATGTTTTTCCAGGGGAGGACCAGTGGGCAAGAGAGAACTTAATCCCTCCCAAACCTGCAGATTGTGTCCTGAAAAATTCAATTCTTCTTTATGTGTTAGACTCAACACCCGAGTAGGGAAAAATACTGCTTTATTGAGCTAAGAACTGAGTACAAAAAGCAAGCAAGGAAAGGATAAAGAAGCTCTTGCTTGATATTTCTCGGCTGCTAATGTTCTGTAGTCCGACCTTCACATTCCAAGACAAAGTTATGATTAACTTTGGGGATTTGCTTTCTTCCCAGTGCTCTCTGAGTGAGCCTGTTTTTAGGAAGCAAAGAAATTTATGTATATGTGGATTACTGAACATGAAAAAAGAAGCAAAATTAGAGAGTGGTGATTACTGCAACCTCTTCTTTACTTTAAAAAAAAAAGAAATTTGATATATAATTTTTAAATTTTAAACAAAAAGAGTTGTGAGTGCAAGTGGCTGTGGGCCATTTTCCCCCTTAGCATGGTGCTTTGGGCATGTCACTTAAAAGACAGGTCAGGGCATGTAAAATGTCTGCCAGGTGGAAGTCTGCAGGTTTCCAGTCAAAGAAACATTCTGTGCTATTCCTACCAATATTTAATGATGTTTAGTGGATAGTGTTTTATAATGGGTAAAATGGGAGACAGACACCCACCCACCTCCGCCCACCCTCAGCCATAGAAACTTATTATCCGGTTGATTTGAGGTCACTTGCTCACTTTCTGGCCAACCTACTTCATAGGGTTACTGTGAAGATAACAATATAAAGTAAGCCCTTCCCTCACCCCCCCACATGATCCAACTTGAATTCCTAGAAGAAAGGCATAATACAAAATCTAGCCAAAAATAAAACAGCTCCATCTCAAGGACAAACAAACATGTTTTGCAACAGCAGATAAAGTCCAAACATTTCTCTCTTCAGTGATGCAAATTCCTACGGTCTGGCTACACAAATGCTCATACTGGCATTACTTCAGCCTAATGGAGAACCGTCTAATGCATTCCTGGCAGTGAAATAAAACAGCAAAAAAAAACAAAGCCAGTAGAAACATGAAATAACGTTTCAGTACCAACATTCCCACCGAGCGCATTACAATTTGGCTACGACCCATCATTTACCGTGCTGCACATCAACATTGCTACAATCCCCATGCTCGGTTAAATCAATCACCACACCCAGAAACACATCCTCTCTGCATGGCAATTGCAGAGCCAGAGACTCAGGGAGAGGCCTCCATTCAGCAGAGACAGGAGGTAATAGAAGAACCCATCCATTCATAAACTCCAGGATTCTTCTCAGACTGCAGGCTGCATGTGACCCAGAACATTGGCAGCACGTAATTTATTCTTCCAGTTCAGCTGATATGTCCCTTTGGGTGAAACTGAAGCTTCAAAGTGGCCTCTACAAGACTTAAAGCAACCATTCTATTCTTTTAAATTTCCACTGATGCCCCAAAAATCTAAGGAGCAGACTTGAAAGACTTTTGCCCTTCCCAGTTCATTCCTTGCAGCTTTAGAAGCGGGGGGCAGGGGGGGGAATTACAAAGCAAGCAGCCATCAAGAGCAGAGATCAGTCTAGCTGCAATAAAAAAGAAAGATAAGGTATAAGATATAAAAATAAAATTTCCCTACCCTCAGAGCATAGCCAGATAAATAATGGGAGGGAACCACCAAAGTAGATAAAACAAAAATACTGTGCTTTGAAGACTTTTTATGTGATATATTGAGTTCTCCCCCGCCCCCCAATCTCTATAGATAGATTCTGCTGCTTTTAATTGATTGTTAGATTACAATGTTGAATGTTACTTGCAAATTTTATTGCATATGATTCTGTGGGCTATTACCTATGGAATAGCAATAAATACACAGACCTACTTGTGCTGTAGGTTATAAAACAGCTCAGAATTAGCAGAGCTAAGGTCCCAAGTGCAGTCATTGAATGTGGTCTGGCACAGATGAGATACCCGCCCAAAACAATGTCATTCACAAAGAAGTCAAGAGAATGTAAAAACTTCCCTTCCGGCCTGATTATTCTTCTGTTTTTCTTTTCCTTCTGTTGCTTCTCACCAAGCTGCTTTTGTGTGATGTCGGTGTTTGTTTGCTCCTTCTTGGATCAACAGTTCAAAACGTATGTGTGTACGTACATAGATAAGGAGAGAGGAAAAAAAAGGACTTGCTAAATAACCTGTATCACACATTTACATTCAATATGCCTATAGTTAAGATTGTATGTGCTCAGCTACATGACCAGATTTATCTGATCTTGACTGATCTTGAAAAGCTGAGCAAAGTTGGGCCTTGTTATGATTTGAAAGGGGGGAGGGCCACCAGGAAGTACTAAGATTGTAGGGTGAACTGAGAAACTGGGGGAAAAAAAAACCCCAAACACCCCAGAAGGTAACTGTTCTGACCTAGGCCACCGGCAGACCACGACACTAAGGCTCTTCTCTATTGCTGACAAGAATTACATCATTGTGTCAGTGAGGTCCACCATTACCTTAGGGTTGGGCGTGCATGTTTCACCTTACACCAAATCTCACATTCAAGAAAAAATTGAACTATTTGAGAGTCAAAATAAATGCCTCGAATTACCACAAAAAAAAAAAAAAAAATGAAGCGTTTACTCATGTTGAGTCATCAATTCTAACCAACTGAGTCAAGAACTGAAAGAAGGAACTCCTTGGACCACGAAAGCTGGACTTTTTCCAACTGCTGAAAATCCCCTCTTCTTTTGGGATTTCATCACAGCCGTATAGAATTGGATGTTATTCTTTTTAAGCCCGTATGTATGGCAGAATGTTTTTCAGCAACCCCCTTTTACGCATACAGGGGTTGATAGCCAACACATGTCTCACCTTAACCATCTGGGAAAGAAAAATAGGCTGGGTTGTAAGAGTTGATTTGATTATGTTAAGATATAAGGCCTTAAGGGAAGTAAGCACTGCAGAGTGATGGAAGGCGTTCACACTCACCTGATCACAGCAGAAACTCTACCCAGCCTCCCCTTGGGCTTTTCATTTCCCTGTGCAGTATGATTTAAAGCTTTTGCTTAACCCATGAGTTGCTAAAGCTTTTGAACAGACCTGCAAACTAGAGCTGTAAGATTTTTAGAGTAGCAATAGCACTTAGACTTATATACCACTTCACAGTACTTTACAGCCCTCTCTAAGCTGTTTACAGAGTCAGCATATTTGCCCCCAACAATCTGGGTCCACATTTTACCAACCTCAGAAGGACGGAAGGCTGAGTCAACCTTGAGCCTGGTGAGACCTGAACTGCCAAACTGCTGGCAGCTGGTGATCAGCAGAAGTAGCCTCCAGACAGTTTTGCATTCTAACCAGAGATGGGATTCACTTATCTTCTCTACCTTTTCGCAAATGTGAGTGCACATTCTGTGCATGCCCAGTAGTTGTGCATTACGTCCGGGCAGGTGGGCAGAGCCTCCCGCAGTGGCCGCTACCAGTTCGCGCAATTTGGAGAGAATCTGAATCCCACTACTGATTCTAACCTTTGCACCACAGGGATGGGGCAACAACAACAACAACAGAATCAAAAACCAGCCCTCCCAGTAGTACCTAGTAGTACCCAGCAAGGGGATATCTTGAGGGTTATATGGAGGTGTAAAAAAATGTATCAGTAATTGCAGGGCAATAGTTTCTTATCAGCCACTTGAATTTAGCTTACGGTACATTATGTGTGAATATGTGTCTATCGACTGGTAGTTTGCATTTTTCTGCCTTTGTAACTCGTAGACATTATTGTTCCAAAAAGACTTTGAGAGTTTGCCAGGAATAGAAGAATGCTAGATATATTATCTTTTGTACCTGTTCCAATATCATTATTTTAGATACAACTCGAGGCTGCTCAAACCAGTTTTGGTTCATTCTGTAGAGTTGAGACTTTTAATTTCTGCCTATCTTGTACTGTTGGCAGCAATATCATCAAGCACGGATGTATCTCCTGGTATCTTGACTGCCTTTTGACCTTTCAAAATAGATTGTGTTTTGCTTATCTGCAACAGGAGGAAATGGAAAAGAAACATGGAGAGGCAATTAGACAGTAGAATTTGGGGAGTGGGTTAAGGGGGAGTTTAAAGCACTGTAATGCTGTGCTACTGAATATTTGGTTTTAAAATTAGAAACAGTAGCAAAAACAGAATAAACCATCCTGATATTTACTCTCTGGCCCCATTCTTTCATGTACCAGTATATATAGGAGTTTGTAACTGGCTGACCAACCGCACTCAACGTGTAGTCTTCAAAGGAACTGCATCTACATGGAGGGAAGTATGCAGTACCCCAAGGCTCTGTTTTAGGCCCAGCACTCTTCAACATGTTCATCAATGATTTGGATGAGGGGATAGATGAGGAACTCATCAAATTTGCAGACAACATCAAGCTGGCAGGAATAGCCAACACTCCAGAAGATAGGCTTAAGATACAGAAGGATCTTGAGAGATTTGAACATTGGCCGCTACCTAACAAAATGAAATTCAATGGTGAAAAAAGTAAACCATTTAAATATGAGTCAGCAGTGTGCTGCAGCTGCCAAAAAAGCCAACACAGTTCTAGGATGCATTAACAGGTGCATTAACATTCAAGGTGTTGGTTACCACCTTTAAAGCACTTCATGGCATAGGACCTGGGTATTTGCGGACCACCTTCTGCCGCCGATAGCCTCCCCCGACCAGTACGCTCCCACAGAGAGGGACTCCTCAGGGTGCCGTCAGCCAGGCAATGTTGGCTGGCGACCCCCAGAAGGAGGGACTTCTCTGTGGCAGCTCCTGCCCTCTGGAACGATTTGCCCCCGGAGATAAGAAGGATATCAGATCTCCGGGTCTTTCACCGTGCTCTGAAAACTTTTCTTTTCCATCAAGCAGGGCTGGCGTGAACCCCCCCCCGCCTTTTTTAGTTTTTTAGTTTTTTAGATTTTAATCTGTCAATGGGTTTTAATTCAAATTGTTTTAAATTTGGGCCAATGTATGTAATTCTTTTAATAATTTTAAATTTTGTATTGGTATGTGTTTTAGTTCTGGCTGTGCACCGCCCTGAGTCCACTAGGAGAAGGGCGGTATACAAATTGAATAAAATAAATAAAATAAATAATAATAAATAAAATAAACAGAGGGACAGAATCAAGATCATGTGAAGTGTTAATACCACTTTATAATGCCACACTTGGAATACTGCATCCAGTTTTGGTCGCCACAGTGTAAAAAAGATGTTGAGACTCTAGAAAGAGTGCAGAGAAGAGCAACAAAGATGATTAGGGGACTAAATCATATAAAGAGCGGTTGCTGGAATTGGGTGTCTGGTTTAATGAAAAGAAGGACTAGGGGAGAGATGATAGCAGTGTTCCAATATTTCAGGGGCTGCCACACAGAAGAAGCTATTCTCCAAGGCACCTGAAGCCAGGATAAGAACCAATGGATGGAAGTTAATCAAGGACAGAAGCAAACTAGAACTAAGGAGAAATTTCTTGACAGTTAGAACAATTAATCAGTGGGACAACTTGATTCCAGAAGTTGTGAACACAGGAAGTTTTTAAGAAGAGATTGGACAACCATTTGTCTGAAACAGTATAAGCTTTCCTGCTTGAGCAGGGGCCTGAACTAGAAGACCTCCAAGATCCCTTCCAACTCTGTTATTCTGTTATCCTAACAGCATAATAATCCTTCAGGCAGGATAGGAACTTGGAAGCTGGAAAACCTATTCCCATTTTTTTCAAGTAAAATGATTGCCTGAGACTGTATGTACTGAAGCACAAATGGGCACAAAGATTATTTGCCATAAAAGCTATACAAAAATATATAACCATGGAAACAGCTTATAAAAATGTATATATTTGAGAAAGCTTTGTGTGTTTGTGTTTATATACAGGAAAATAAAAACAGGGTGTCTTTTTTGCAGGGTGATACATATTTTTGATTGAATATTGGGGAACACTGACATTAATTAGATACAGATATCCAAATTATGATTCATGACCATGGCCTTCTCTTGTAAAATATATGTAGTAGTAAATTGAATGAAAAAGAGCAATTTGGGGAAGAAAAGGGATTTTCCATAGAATTTTTCTGGTAGTATAAAATCATTATCTACGGCTGATAAAAGTGTTTAGTTGAGATTTTGTACCATTTAGCTACACATTCTTGGTCCCTTTTCAGGGATGGGTTTCTACAGGTTCAGCAGGAGGTTCTTGCTGAAGCAAGAGGCTCCACCCATTCACCCAGACATCATCAAAAATGCTCTGGGCATGCACAAAAGTGCCGCACGCTCACAAAGTGAGTGTGCGTATCCGTGCGCCACTGATAGCGAACTGGTAGCACTGGGATATGAATCCCATCTCTGTTCCTTTTGCTGTAGCTATCTTAACCTACCCTGAAGATTCTCATATGGATTCTCATATGCACAGTCTTGAGATTACAGCCATTTTTATATTTGGCATATTTTGATTCATTTGGTGATCATTTAGGTACAGAGAAAATGATTTAATGGGCTTTGAAAATGGCATCAGTCCCTTTGCAGAGAAATTCAAAGAAAGCCAGCAGAAACAAAAGGAAGGTGGAAGAGATTACATGTCTGAGAGGGAGAAAAACATTCAGCTAGACATAATTGCTGGTTAGCTATATGTTAAATGTAAGGCCTGCAAGGAAATTCTGCAGGAAGTAGTCCTAGTGCGTTCAATAATGTAGTTTTCAGTAAATGAGTCACTGCTGACACATAGATCCCCCAAACAAAAGAATGAAGCTCACTGGATTGTGTTGTTTTGTGCTTGGCTCAATCTCATAAATTAAATACTGAGGAATACTAAATGTGGCACTAAACAGAAGTGAAAGGGAAGACGAAAACGGGAAGGTGGGCAATTGCTACAATGGCTGAGCACATGCCTGCGTTGCACTCCCTTATCAAGTGGTACGTACAGTCTGTATTGTGTTACATGATTACACAAAGATAATTCCTAGATCTCTTTCCTTTGTTATCCTACTGCAATGCTTAAAGATGCAACTTGGGCATTACCAATATGGCAACTTTTGCAAATGTTGGTTGCAAAAATATTGTACTGTTGCACAAGTTCCCTTTTTGTGCATTAAATTAGATCTGTGAAAAGAGGAAGTGTGACTCATTCATGGTGAAAAGTCCCAATAATTTGGGCAGGGGTAAAAGAACAAAGCAAGGGTGCATGTGTTTATTGATGATAAACATTTGAGTTGCAATGCTGTATTTATCTGTGTAAATGCAGCCCCTTGGAACATACTGTGGTTACACCTAAATAAACGAAGAAAGGCTATAAAGCAATATTGAACCAGGCACAACAGTTGAACCACAATAATTCTTTCATTTGAAACAAGTAGAGATATTATAGAAATCCCGACTTTGTGTCATTGCACACATGCACATATATACCTAATAAATTAGATACGTTATATTGTGCATAATGAAGTACCCAGGTTGAATCTCTGCTTAAAGTGATTGACAGGATGCATAAAGATATTTAATGACGGAATTATTAATTTAATGATGGAGCTGTGTAAGTTCTTTTACCCTTTTACACAAAAATAATGAAGGATAAATAGTGTGACAACGATGAGAAAGTTCCCCCACCCCGATTCTTTTTCAGTACAATTGTTAGGAAATATACCTATTGGTTGATTAATTGATTGATTGACTTCTGGTGGTATTTTGGAATATGCAGAAAAATGCAGGCAGCTGAGTGCTACTCTGTCAGACCTTAAAACTAAAAAGAAAGCTCCTCTAACTAACCCTGTATAGCATAGTCCACAGTTTGTTCCAAAGATCTGAATCGGAAACATTCTGTATATTGATTGAATTTATTGTTTATGATCCTGTGCAGTGGTGGGTTCTAACCACCTTTACTACCATTCTCTTTGTGTACGCACTTCGCGCGCGATCGCTTCGCTCGCATGCGCGCCAAACTTGCGCTCCACGCAAGCGCGTTGGGAATCTGCCCAGCTGAGGTGTGGCAATCCACTCTGCTGCACCTATCAGCTGGGCTAAAAAAGAAGAAATAAAAGGTAGTAATAACGCAGGGGCGGGCGGGAGGGGCCAGCTCCCAGAAAAAGAGAACCAGTTCGGTGACATCATATCGTCACCACTACTGGCTAGGCCGAACTGGGCCGAACTGGGAGGAACCCACCACTGATCCTGTGTATATGTCATCCTTTAAAGTTAAAGCTCCTTTAAAGGATGACATATACACAGGACCATAAACAATAACCAATATACAGAATCTTTCCAATTCAGATCTTTGAAACAAACTGTGGACCAGGGGTGCAATGCTCCCGGATTGGACTGGATCGCCTGATCCAGTAGCGATTTTTCCCTGTGGTTCGGCAATCCGGTAGTGATCGCCACCCAGGTGTCATTACTTCCTAGTTTTAACCTTCTGCATATGCACAGGTTTTGCACATGCGCAGGTTTTGCACATGCGCAGGTGTGTGTGCACTCAGGGCACGTGCGCTTGTGAACTGGTAAGGAAGGTAAGTAGATTTCACCCCTGATGTGGTCTATGCTGATACAGGGTTAGTTACAGTATTTATTCAACATACAACATACACAGGAGAAAGTTGTTGAAATCCCCACTGAAGTTTCTGCAACAAACCTTCCAACTGCCCATGGTAATTCATTTGAGAGTTTAAGTCTATTTGGAGATTAAGGCAAATTTTGGAAAACTCTAAACTTGCAAGGTTCACTGATGGAACTGCATATAACTCAGGAACTAACAGATGTCCGGGCTTCATGCTTAACTTGAAAGAGATACAAGAGAAGGAACTAGTTTAGATTTGGTGCACAGCTGCAGAGATCAGATGACAGTGTCAGCTGAATTTTCCTCCTCACTGGCTCTGTATGATTTATAACAGGCAAAACTCTGACCTTTGTTTGGTCGCAAAAAATTCCATCTTAGGAACTTAAAAAAAAAAAAAAGCTGATGGAGTCAAAGCTGACAGCGATGGTGACAATAACTCACAAAGTAGAGAAGACATGGTAGTGG